GACAAAGACAGACAGAGAATGAGAAATCACTCCCCAGTGGGATGGCAACGCTGCAATCCCTTCTCCTCCATTCTCCTCTCAGGATATTGGGCATGCACGCACATGTGCCCGGTGTGAGTTTAAGGCCCGGGGTCTGGGACGCTAACCACAGTTGACTACATGAAGTCCAGCGATGCAGCCATTACGCCAACTGCTGGTCCCGACAACTCTGGATTTCTGTATTAATCCTAGGAGGTGATCTGCAGAGATCCAAAAATATATTAGGACAAGGCTTCTTTCATTGAGTATCTTCGGATATACTTGAGAATTAATATTAATGAAGTAAAATGATCAGAAACAATCTACAAATATGTAATTGTTAACTTTTTAGTAACAGTTAAAGTTTGAGGAAAGAGGAATATTAGATAGGTATTTCAATTTCTTTTTATTAATTATTTTATTTAACTTTATTTATTTATTTAAATTTCACCAGAGAGGGACAGAGTGAGAAAAAGGGAGGGAACAGGGGAGGGAGAAAGCAAGCCAGTACTCAGACCACGGCCGGTCATGTGGGAGTCCAGTGCCCTTAACCACCATGCCACCTCCGGGCCCCAGCATTTCAATTTCTAAAAGGAGTAGATATTTTATCTTGCTTTTAAGGGATGGGAGGAAAAAGGATAGTTTCAGGGTAGAAGGAGGTAATATTCCTGGCTAGAACAACTGAATTAAGGTTGAGAATAAGGATGGTCCTTAGGTTCTTGGCATGATGCTATATATCTGATTGGGCAGATTGGGAGGGACCAGAAAATAGGTTTGAAACCCAGGTAGAAAAAGCTGGATCTGAAATGGCTGAAATCACTGTGCAAATGTGTGTACATGTGTCATTTATGAAGTCAGGAAAATAAGTCTTACCAGCCTTATTAGGTGGATTAAATGGGATAAAGAGTGAAAAGCACTTATCTCAGTTCCTGGCACATAATAAGCAGTCACTAAATGATAGCCATTATTACTACTGCTGATGATAATAGCAGAGAAAGTTTTGCCTTGAATTTTTAATCAGAATAAATAGACTCATTCTGGGTTATTTATATCAGGTCTGCCTAATTTGTCTTTATAAAGTTGAACACAGTTTAACTAATAATAGTACTGATTAAAACAAACACCTGGAATCCTGTATAAAAAAACAAAGGAGCTGACTCTACATATACTCCGGCAAAGCAAATGTGTTATTTTAAAGGCAAACCTATTGACAGAACTAAAAATATAATCATGTGAAAAAGTTTTCAAACTACTAGCTATCTATATTTCATTTAAAATGTGCTATTTGCAACTCTACAGAGTTCACTTATAGCTTTGCGATTCCCTGTGGAAGATATTTCACTAAAATTCAGTTGGTATAAAAGCAGGCATTTCCCAGAGGGATAAACAGAGAAAGCATTATAGCCTCTGCAAGATCTATAAACTTCAAAGGTATGAGCTTGTTAAGTTTCTGTTTGGTTTCATTTTGGGTTTCTTTCTCATAATGATGGAGAGGCAGAGTATAAATAAACTGTAACTCAAAAAGATTTTAGTACTTTAACATTAAAAAAAATTCCATCTAAGTGCAGTGTACTGACTCTGTCAGTACAATGTATTTTATTCTAACTATTCTCCAAACTGTTTTTCACTGTTAATAGTGTGATTTATAATTAAAAATTATTATAGATGAGGAAAAAGGTGCCAAGGTCCTAATAAGCTGGATGTCAATACAGATGTCTGAGCAATAGAGCTTTAATAAAGGGAAGGACTAGCATGTTAGGAAGGAAACCCATGGGGAAAGCAAACAAAGGAAAAGGAGGGAAAAATATCATTTAAGTCTCTTGAAAATTTTAGAGCCAAAATTTTGAATTAAAAATGTAATCAGTGAACCAGCAGTTGGCGTAATGGCTATGTTGCTGGACTCCCACGTAGTCGACCGTGGTTCGCGTCCTGGACCCGGTGGCTTAAACTCACGCCAGGCGCGTGTGCGTGCGTGCCCAAGATCCCCAGAGGAGAATGGAGGAGAAGGGATTGCAGCGTGACCATCCCCCCTGGGGGGTGATTTCTTGCTTTCTGTCTCTCTGTCTCTGTCTGTCTGGCGAGCACACGTGCCCTATAGCGAAAACCTCTCAAAAAATGTAATCAGAAACCACTTCAATTCACATACAGAGGCTATATTATTGCTTACTTCTGCCAAGGCAGATAACATTTTCTTTATACAACACACTGGTCTTACTCCATGTAATTAATAGGCCATCTACATGTACAAAAAGACATTACCTTTATTGTTAAATAACCAGATTAATCTTTTAACAAGGTTTTACGTATTTTTAATACCCTGTGCCCTTGCACCTTGGAATTAACCAGACTGTCGCTGTGTGGTCTCTCCTCTCCGTTTCCTTGTCTGGGCCTGCAATTCTAGATATTCCATGCTGCCCTCCACACCCCTTATGCAATCATCCATCTTAAGAGGACTTTGTGGACAGAGCCACTCTTTACTTAGCCCGTGGTCTTTGCAGCTTTCAGCCAAAGCATCCCTTCCCCTCCTGAGGGTCTTTTGCAACTTGTCACACACACTGAGCTTCTAATAATAAAGGTAACTTTGAATGAAAGTGCACTGGGTACTTTGAGTGCAGGTTCTGTTTGCTGTTCTGGTTAGCAAAAGTACACAATGGATTGTGCAATGCTCCTTGGGCATTTTTAGTGAGGGTGTGGATATTCTGTGACACTGGTGTCAAATCTTGTTTTTTTTTTTTTTTTTTTTTTTTTTTTTGATTTTCTTTTCCCTTGACAATTAGCTGAAAACCGATAGTGATCCATTTGTTTTGGTTTATTTGGATCTACCATTTGCTCAAGGGAAAGGAGACTGTCTTCAGTATTCCTGGTGGATTTGGCTGTCTGCAAGCCCTACCATAAGATAAAACCATTTGCAAAATCTTCTATATCGCAACATACATGCATTGGCATCTGTTCTGAGCTTGCTCCAAATGCTTCCTTCATGGTGTCCAGTGAACTTTGTACTGCAGAGGCGCTGAATCCAGACGTGGAGTCCAGCTTGCTGGAGCAGCAGGCAGATGCTGAGGAAAGGGGACCTGGGTCATGGCTGCACAATTGCAGAGCAGCCACAACATTCTCTCAAAAACAAAAATAATGGTTGAATAGCAACATATACATAAAAGACTTTTTCCCCTTTGAATACAAAAAAAATTACTGTGCACCTTAGCAAAACAAAGCAGTGGTGCTGATTCAGGCTTTTGAACTTTGGCCCAATCTTGAAGGTGCTTTTAAATTGACCTAAGGGGTTTATGAAACAAGTGGATTCATTTAACTTTGTGTATTGGTGTATTCTCCAATTGGACTTCGCCCCAGAGATTTCTTTTTTTTTTTTTGAGGTTTTCGCTATAGGGCGCGTGCACTCGCCAGACAGACAGAGAGAGACAGAGAGACAGAAAGCGAGAAACCACCCCCCAGGGGGGATGGTCACGCCGCAATCCCTTCTCCTCCATTCTCCTC